TCCCAGCTTTCCAGTTAAAGTTAAAAGGGAGAAATCTTCCTTTTTTCTCCGAAGAAAATGGAAATCGCAGAGAGATTACAATGACATATCTCCACCACGATATCGATAGTAGTATTTGCTAGTATGGTACTGCTCATTCGCTATAGATACCTATTGAATTAAAAATTTTGAAACAATCCTGTTATACGCTCGTAAGTATTATAAATTTGAATTAAATATTATAAACTGTTTTCGAGAAGTAAAATAATATTACTGTTATGACATTAAACAATCAAATATATTTTAGTTATTAATATAATAGATTATGATATGCTGACCAATAGTTTGGCCTCTTAAGAAAAACCAAAGGAAAGCTAGAGGTAACATAAAAGTTTAAGGAGAAAAGAAAACAATGAATTATGTACTAGTACTACTTGTAACAGATAATATCAAAGAAAAAAATGACTACTCAAACCAGTCAGCCAGGTCAACCAAGAACCTATTTACTTTAATGAAAAGTAATACAAGTTTACTTGATAGAAGAAATAAGATTATAGTTATTAAAACTCATCAACTTAACAAGGATGCCATCACTAGATTTTTTCTTTTCCCTTCTAATAAAGGGGGAAAAAAGAGAGAGAGAGAGAGAGAGAGAGAGAGAGAGAGAGAGAATTGGAGATAAAAGCAAAGGCATTGGTTAGCATAAGAGAAGCCTAACATAGCCTACCCCAAACAGAGAAGAAAAAAGAAGCAGTCTAGCAAACCCAATCCCGCGAGCATCCGAGCCCGATACCACTATCGCCCAAAATAAGGCCATTCCAACTAGTATTTTCTCCAAGCCGTTGAAGTCATTAGCTAGCAATAAGGAAATAAAGCTACAACGAACACAGACAATTAGCACTATGTATCTTCCTTGACCTGAAAAAAGGAAAGAGAAGAAAAGAAATTATAACGAGAGCTTAATTTCACTAATGTCATTGGCTAGCAACTGGTTCTTCAATGTTTGCTGCAGTTGACATTTCAACTTCTCTTGCAGCATCATATGAAGCATGTAATACTACAAACAAGTAGTAGACAAGTAGAATGGCTGTCCAT